GTATACTTAATACTCGAAAGATATGTCTTTGTATTACTATATATATATATATAGTTATATATAAATTGAAACTTGTGTTACATTCTTTTTCGGTTTACTCTGCAATAGCCCCCCCCCCCCCCAGTGGCACAGCGCTATGTCTACGGACTTACAACGCTAAAAACCGGATTTCGATGCCCGTGGTGGGCAGAACGCAGATAGCCATTTTTTTTTGTGGCCATGGATGACACGATCTCACATGCGGCAGCATGGCAGCTGAGAATGGTTTCCTGTATACAGAAGTAGACAGAAAGCCCTTCTCTCTTTTTACAGAAACATCTAAAAAACTTAAACAACCATCATCTTCAACTTCTAAAGTGAATTGTATATTAGGGCTGATCAAATTCAGATGCTTCTGGAACTCAGTTAACGTGTCATTACCATATCGCCACACCAGAAACGTGTCATCCACGTACCTTATCCACACGTCAATGCTGTTTTTAGCGCACAAGTTTCAACCTCAAACATCAAAATGTCCGCTAACAAAGGTCATAAGGGTGACCCCATAGACAAACCTTTATTCTGTTTGTAAATATTATTTCCTACCTTAAAATAACTATCTGTTACACACGATCTTGTTAAATTCATGACATCATGTACTTCTAACCGTGAAAAAAATCTTACTAGTTAGTAATCTATTTTCTAAACAACACAACACATCTTCTACAGGTACATTTGTAAATAATGATACTACATCAAAAGAAACTAGTCTATCACTTTCTATTATGTGCATATTCTTAACCTTTTTTTTTGCAAATTCCGATGAATTTTTAACAGTGTATGTATGCGAATTTATTAAAAACGAACATTTTTTAACAATAAACTTAGCCACCAAATGTGTTGATGACCCTCTGTTATCCACAATAGGGCGGAACGGTACCCTGATTTTATGTACCTTAGGGAGTGCATAAAATCTAGGTAAATTATACTGAGATGGTATAAGATTTCTTTGTTCATTAACTGTTAAAAACGAACATTTTTAACAATAAACTTAGCCACCAAATGTGTTGACGACCCTCTGTTATCCACAATAGGCCGGAACGGTACCCCGATTTTATGTACCTTAGGGAGTGCATAAAACGTAGGTAAATTATACTGAGACGGTATAAGATTTCTTTGTTCATAAACTGTTAAAATACTGCAGGTTTTCACAACTGTTTTTACTTTATTATGTGCGGCCCGGCTCGGCATCGCCATGGTGGTTAAGGCACTGGACTCGCAATCTGAGGGTCGCGGGTTCGAATCCCCGTCACACCAAACATGCTCGCCCTTTCAGCCGTGGTGGCGTTATAATGTGACGGTCAATCCCACTATTCGTTAGTAAAAGAGTAGCCCAAGAGTTG